CACTGTGACTAACTTGTGGCTCGGTTCTGAATGTTTCTGAACTTTCTGTGTCACGCACGCGCAGGAATGGCGAAAAACGCGCACTTTCTTGAGCAAGTGTCGAGGGTCTTCGGAAAGGACGACGAGATCATCGTTGTACGTAAACTACGTTTGCTGAATGAATCTAAATTTCAGAGATTATACGTTCATTTCAGTCAGTTCCTTAACACTAAGTGGAAATTAATCTCGCCTGTTGTTCCTTCCCAGGGCTGCCAAAGTGGCAAGAGGTCTCTGATGGCGGCGACTGAACTCTGCTCTGCTGTAAGCTACCATGGCCATCTCCATCATCTTCCCAAAGATTATCTCTTGGCTTTCTGCAATTCATGGCAAATCCAATCATTGCGGCCATATTTTCAGGGCTTTACTGCTGTCACCGACATCGCCGGTGGATTCTCGACTTGGAGGGAGAATGAGCTGCCTACCACCATCCAGTGAGCTAGCTTGCCTCGGCAGCATAATGTTGTTGGAGCTAGCCCACCCAGCGTTCTGTCCAAGCCTGTTCTGCTCCTGGGTTGTACATATGTCTGATGTCTTCCATAGTTCTGGAATAAGAGTGCTGGAAAATGGAGCATGTAAAGTAAAGCAGAGTAGCAGCACAACAAATAGGGTTTTTTACATTATTACCTGTTTTTTTTTAAACGAAAAACTGGATGTGCCAATTTCTACATTTTCACGTATTCAGCCAGCCATTCCTAAGGAGACTCAGAACCATATTGTCTTACAAAATGCTTAGCAATACCAAAAGAAGTTTAACATACTTCTTTTTTTCCTTATAAAAAAAACATACTTCTTTTTTTAATTAAAATTTGCAAGAAAAAACACACCTCCATCAGAGCAGATTATAAGTTGATAACCAACATATGAGTCCGTGAAGTTGACAGTAGCATCTAACATGTCAATCTCCTTAAGGAAAAACTTTACCAATATAATGTGGAACGTCCCAAAATGCGAGCGAAACATCGGCTTTAAATAAAATGAAGTTCCATAAGCACAATGTTTGATCATCACAGATATTATATTACGTCAATCAATGTGTGCCAATCAATGTTTGACACCTAATGGTGCCAGTAGGAGTCCAAAAAAACAGTACTCATTTAGTTTATAATGCCTCTATTTTTGGAAAAGGATACAACTCTAGCATAGCGCTAAGTCAAACTATGTTAAAAGTTTGACTAATTTTATAAACGGAATAATTTTTAAAAAATATCTATTTAGAGTTATAAATATTAATACCTTTTTAAAAAGTTACCGAACTATAAATTGTTTAAACAAGTATTGTCTGTATTCAAAAAGTAAACTGTTTAAACAAGTATTGTCTGTATTCAACAAGGTATACTGTTTTAGCATAGTCAAACTATCTTAAAGTTGACCAACTTTATATAAAATTAGTATTGATATTTATCTTATTAAATAGGTGTAATTTATATTTGTATTACATTATATTTTCGTAGTATAGTTTTTTGGAGTCATATATGTTTGTGTTATTTTCTATAACTTAGTCAAAATTAAGCCGGTTTGCTAAACCTAAAATGCTTTGTTTAGGGGATGAAGGTAGTAAAAGACTCGGCTTGCAATCCTTTTGGGACGAAAGTAATACATATTTCTTTAATGACCTAGCATGAGATTTTGCTGATATCATTGTATACAGAAGAGTTGTCGGACAAATAACCCTAGAAGGCTTTATAAGGTTTGACGAGGTAGGTTAACAGAAAACTAAATTCCAATAAGGAGCAGGAAAAAAAATGATTCATCAAAATACTTTTAACATACACCATCTCTAGATCCAAGATTTTTTTGGAGCTACGAACAATCAAATACTTTAAGTTGGGGTTGCCTATGTAAAGTCTTAGAAATACATGGTTTTAGAGCCTTTTCAGGTATATAAAAGGTACAATATAGATCCTATCCATTAATTAAACAGTATTTATTGTTTACTAAACAACGCACTTACTGGTGTTTCCAATTTGTACTAGATATATAGGGGAGTTTGGGACTGCTTCGCTCCACGTTTTTCAGCTCAACTCTACATTTTTTTAGCCAAACAGTTTCGAGGAAAAAGGGTGAAATTGTGATAGCACCTAAAGAGGTGCTCCACAAACTCCAGGTTTTTGTGGAGCTGCTCCACAGTGGAGTTTGGGGAGCAGAGTTTGTGGAGCTGTTCCAAACACCCCAATAGTACATGAAAGAACAAGTACTAATAAAGTTTGATTCCCTTAATACCTTGTAATTTGCACTCATGCAACTCAAATCATAACATGGAGGAAGTCTCAAATAGGAGGGTAATGATTCAATATCCACATCAATTCATGTTTCCAGCAGTTCTGGATAAGCATAAATAAAGTTTTTTTAAAAAAAAAACATGTATTATACCTCTTCACGGTTGGAATATTGAAACATATAAACCACAATTAAAAATTTAGTGGCACTACTTGTAGTATCACGCATAATGTGATGCTACTTAAATTATACTATTTACCAATTTGAATTTAGACGAGGTTCAAATGTATGTACATATCCATACCTATACAATAGTATAGCGCTTGCTGAAGTACAGTGTTTTATTTTATTTTATTTTAAAAAAGGATTTGCTATTTTTTAGGTGCCTGGAAAATACCATCCGTTCAGGCAACTGCTCTGAGCCATCAGATGAAGATCTAATGATCAAAATTCACACAAAGAAAATTAACAATAAACAATTCTTTCTATTGTAAGACACAAAATTATGATCTAAATGACACAGAGTCAATTAACAATAACGGTAATGCTTGCAGTTGGACGTCCAGAGGCATCGATTCCGTCGGACGGTTCACCCGAGGTTTATGTTGCAGTTGTTTAAGTGATATGTTGCCACAGTGGATCTTCAATGTTGCATGTTTTATGGCAGACTCGGTGTAGAGTGGGTTTTGTGACGTTGCAATAGATGAATGCTTGATGTTGTACGTGGGTATTTGAGATGTTTCGTAGGTTGACTTGTGGATGTTGCAGGTTGATTTTCGTGATGTTGCACTGGGTAATTTGTGATGTTTGAGGAGATGATTCTACATGTTGCAAGTACTTTCTTTTTTTTCTCTATATATTCGGTGTTCAGCTTCTCCATGCCTACGTTGTGCTAGGGTGGGAGCCCACAGCTTCACATATCTTCTGTTTATACAAATTTTATCAACCTGATATGCAAATTAGGTTTTATAATGTGCCACAGCACTGCACATGAAACTAGAGCAAAAAAACATCATTCAACTCTGACCCAAAAAAGCAAAATTGCTTCTCTTCGTGCAAAATCTGAAAACAAAAAACACAGATCATTTAGAAAAACTTAATTTTTAGAGGCAAAGAGAACTACACAGCTGCGTAATCAAAACATGTAATTTTAATCAGAAGTAGCACATGGTTCAATATATAAACACATGATTTAGGACTGCATGATCAGAAAAAATGTACTAGCAAATTAAGTGTCATTCCTTAGGCAACAATGTCTTCCTAAATAGGCAATTTATGTATTCTGGAAAAGCAAGTATAGTGTCTATGTTCATTTGCATTCCACAGCCCCACCCTCACCCCCACCCCCACCCCTGATTCATTGTCACTATTATCAAGTCGTCCAACTAAAATGCAACTAATCACAGATTAGTAGTCCTAGTCGGATGGCATTTTTGACTAGTAAGGAAAGGCTAAATTACCTATTCAGGCGCACATTGTTGCCTAACAAATGGCACTTAAAAAAAAGGACGTACCCAGTGCAGAGAGCTTCTGCTCTGTGCGGGATCTGGGGAAGGGTGTCAGTGGCAAGCCTTACCCTCGCCTGTGCAATGCGAGGAGACCGCGACTCGAACCCGGGACCTTCTGGTCACAGGCGGTAAAACTCTATCGCTCGCACCAGGCCCGCCCTTAAATTGCCAAAAAGGAAATACAAAGGTGCTAACATGGGGCTGCTAGGAAAAAAAGGTGACACCAGATTGCTCACCTTCGCGTGCTATCATCCGCCTTTTCGCTGGACCATGGATGTTGATGCTCGCTGGTAGAGATCACCCCACCGCTTGCAGCCGCAGCTCCACCGGGAATGTGGCTCCGCCCACCTTAGCTTTGCCCGGCATCTGGCAAAGGAGGAGGTGCAACAGTTGGAATGAAACACAGACTGCATAGGAATGATCTTGTTCAATTGATAAAGCCCAAGGGCATACTACTGATCTTCGATTGATGAAGCCCGGCACAGACAAACAGACGACTATTCCTATAAAGAAATACATGTAAACAAAAGGCTAAATTGCATGCAAGGAATCATCGTATTGGTGTCAAAAATATAGATCTGAATGAGCTACCTCCAGATTTGCAACAAAAGGCTAAATTGCCTAATTAGGAGCACATTGTTGCCTAACAAATGACAATTAAATTGCCTAACAAATGACACTTAATTTGCCTAAGAAAATGGTTATATGTTTCTCTTTTATGTGTGTGTGATCATACCTCGTTGCCGCCATGGGATGCTGGCGCACACACTCCATGAAACCTCTGCCCTCTAGGCATTGTATGAAGAACTATCCCGGTAAATGCATGCACAAAAAAGAGCTGATGTCATTACATTTGTATATAGCAGGAAGCAAAAACATTACGGTTAAAATGCCTACAATATGAGAACACAACAAAGGGGAATTTTTTTTAACACTTTTTGTAAACTAATTTTAAATCTAACACTGATTAATTTTTTTTTCAAAACTAATACTTTTGGACGCGCCTATTTCCCTGACGCAGCGAAACGCCTATACCGCGTCATGTATGGTGGCGTGACGAGAGGATGACGTGGCGAAGACCGGGGCGCTGACCGGACCGCACCACCGATCTGCCGCGCCATCCCTCGCGGCGCGGCAGTCCAGCGGACAGATCAAATCGAGAGTTCGAGACAGAGGGGGAGCTGCTGCACTAACCGAGGTGGACTGGGCGAGCGAGCGAGCGAGCGAGCGAGCGAGATGGAGTGGACGACGGTGGAGACGGGGGACGGCGCGAAGCTGAGCGTGCGGCTGTTCAAGCCCCCCGCGTCCGGGGCGGAGCCGGACCCGGGGGAGGACGTGGCGGTGGTGCTGGTGCACCCCTACACCATCCTCGGCGGCGTGCAGGGCCTGCTGCGGGGGATGGCGGAGGGCGTCGCGCGGCGGGGGTACACCGCCGTCACCTTCGACATGCGCGGCGCCGGCCGGTCCACGGGGCGGGCGTCGCTCACGGGCTCCACCAAGGTCGGGGACGTCGTCGCCGTCTGCCGATGGGTCGCAGAGAACATCATGCCGCGCAGCATCCTCCTCGTCGGATCCTCAGCTGGTAGGTTCCACTTTCGCTTCTCCCTGATGTGGCGAAACCCTGTCGCGATCCGTACCTTTTCTTTTCAGTTCATGGGAGCGTTAATCAGTCAAATATGAAGCTGTTTTTGGTCAATTTGAATGTGCAAATGACAATTCTCTTGGTACTCATTCGGGCTAGTAAGCAAATAGTAGCTGTTGATGAATTTGCTGCATTCAAATAGGAAGCTCAAACGTTGTCCTCGTGAAATTTCTGCGTTTCAGTCTGTATACTCCAAACTTGAATCTGTAATTAGCAGATAGGCATTAATATTTCATCTAATTTTATTTAGGGACCTAAATTTCTGTCAGATATCCTTAAGGAAAGTAGTGGCAAAAGGTTTCCTGTTAAGTAATCTACACAATATTTCAGCAAATCCTCCTAGAAATGTAAAGTAACTTGGATGTCTGCTTCCTGTATGGCTGTATGTAGTGGTTGAGATTAAGTTGATCCTATCCACTGCAATTGTCAGTGAGCTAGTTGATGGAGATGAACAAGATGGTTGAGTTTACATTGAAGAATCAAGACGTGGTATTCTGCATACAAGTCTTCTCCTGTCATTTATGAAGCTGTTGTATTGTGTTTAGGCATGTGTCTAACAATAATTCTCTGATGCAGGGGCACCAATTGCCGGATCTGCAGTTGATAAAGTGGACGAGGTGATTGGTTACGTTAGCATCGGGTACCCATTTGGTCTGATGGCCTCAGTCCTATTTGGAAGGCATAATGATGCTATACTCAAGTCTGAAAAACCAAAGCTTTTCATCATGGGGACCTGAAAGTGCATTTGCCCCCTATGTGGGTTTTGGTGTATTGATGACATCTAAATTAGGGACTAATGTGATCTTAATGAGATATGTTGCAGCTATTAGTCCCATGAAAGATTCAAAGAGTTGATAAAGATGAAATGGTATCCCTCAATTCTTGAAGTTGTAAAGGCGGACGAACTCAAAACTATCTCCAAAGGGTTTAATTTTGTTTTTGAGTTTAGGATCCGCCGCACTATAAAGAGGGATGCAAGTTTAGTTGGTCTGAGGAAGATAGAGTGCTCAAGCATTTAAATAAAATCAAAAGAGAGTCACTCTAGCACTTCACGCGCACTTAGAATAATTTTCTGTGACTTTCAGTATCGGAAGTCCCGACGCAAGTCGGAACTCCCGACAGTAGGAAGTCCCGACCTAAGCCAGGAGTCCCGGTACCTGTGCTTCTGACTGCTCGCTGTCTGTGCTCGTCGAAAGTCCCGACGTTCGTCGGGAGTTCCGACAGTCGGAAGTCCCGACGTTCGCCGGGAGTTCCGACTCTGACCTAACCCTAGCCGGGAGTCCCGGCATCAGCGGTGCTGGCTGTTTATTTAACTGGGCGCGTCGGAAGTCCCGACGTTTGCCGGGAGTTCCGACACTGACTTTCACCCGTGGACTTCTGACCCGTTGTGAACAGTCTTTTCTGTTGATGTCGGAAGTCCCGGGATCTGCGTCGGGACTTCCGACGTAGATCTGAACGGTTGGATTTTCACTTGGAGTATAAATACTCCTCTCTTCACTTCTAACCGTTATGGACTCATTTCACAGTTGACTCACTTCGTGCTGAACAGCTCCCAAGCAACTAAAGCACCCCTCTCCTTCCTCCTTTGCTCCAATCTTCGATTCCCTTAGTTTTTGAGTAAAAGGAGAGTGGATTAAGTGAGAGCATCACTTTGGAAAGCTTGAGCACTTGATTTCTTCGTCAAGCCGGCTGTTTTTGCGTCTATTACTCTTAGGGCTTTGCCCCTAGCCGGCTAGGCGTTGCCCTAGAGCTTCCATCTTGTGGAAGATCCTTGGGAAGTTTGTATCACCCTTCGATTTCTTAGTGGAAAGCTCAAGTGACCTTTGTGGTCACTTTGAGAGAGGCAAGGAGGTGGAAAAGACTCCGACCTTGGTGGTCACCTCAACAACGAGGACGTAGGAGCTCCTTAGTGGGGTTGCCGAACCTCGGGATAAATCCTTGTGTCCCGTGTGCTTATTGTTATGATTGCTAGAGATTATTTGTATATGTTTGTCTCTTTCCCTCCCAAACTTGCATTTTAGGGTTTGGACTCGATCTACGGTTTGGAGGCATTACGGCGTCAAGGAGTGACCTAACATCTTCACCAAACCACTAGGAAGTGAGGTTGTAAGTTTATTTATCCGCAAAGTTAAATTTAGCACTATTTTTGTAGTTCACGTAGGCGTCGGAACTGCTGACGTTTGCGCCGGAACTTCTAACAATGTCGGAAGTTCGGACCCAAACGTCGGGACTTCCGGCTGTGACTGACAGAATTGAACTTAGCATTTGCAGTAAATTTTTAGATACGCCTATTCACCCCCTCTAGGCATTGTTAGATCCTTTCAATTGGTATCAGAGCAAGGTCTTCTCTTTGCGTTTCACCACGTGAGAAGAAACAATGTCGGAGTCCGAAAAGATGCAAGCCGTTGCCGCCGAGATGGCCATGAAAATAGCTGAAGAGTTGATGAGTGCTCAAGCCAAGCTCTTTCAAGATGAAATGAAAAAGATGCAAGATGAGATGAGCAAGTTGAAGGAAGAATTGACCAAGAAGGTTGATGATGCAATAAGTGGCAAGAATGATACTAGTGACAAGAATGAAGCAAACAAAGATGCCGCTAGTGATATTGGAGCCGGTGAGCATGCTCATGGAAAAGGAATATATTCACACATGAGTTTTGACTATGGACAAATCATGAAAGGTTCAACACTACATACTACATCCGTCAACATTGGCAAGCCACCTCACTTTGATGGAACAAGATACACCGATTGGTCTTACAAGATGAAGATGCATCTCATAGCAGCAATACTTTGGGAAGTTGTGGATGTTGGTGTGATGATTCCTACCGATGAAGATAGAGAGATAACTCCGGAAGAAGTGCACAACCTCCATCAAAATGCACAAGCCGTAGCATTGCTTGTGTCAAGTCTAGCTCCGGATGAGTTTAGAAAAGTGAATAGAATGGAAAGTGCAAAGCAAATTTGGGATACTTTGAAAGTATCATTTGAAGGAGATAAGAGTGTGAGGAAAGGCAACATTGAGTTACTTCATGGTGAATTAGAAAGATTTGTATTCTTGCAAAATGAAACAACACAATCCATGTTTGATAGGCTCATGGCATTGGTCAACCGCATAAGAGCCCTTGGAAGTATCGAATGGGATGACAACAAGGTTGCTAGAAAGATGTTGAGAACCTATAGAGCCAAGAATAACATGCTAGCGTCCGTGATCATGGAAAGGCCCGGTTATGATGAGATGACACCTCAAGAAGTTCTTTCAAAGCTCAAGCATCATGAGTGTCTAGATGAAGATGCAATCAATGCTCACAATCAAAATCCTAATGCAATGGGATTCAACAAGAGTGCAGCCCTTAAAGCAACTCAACAACATGAAGGTCATGGTTCAAGTCAAGAAAATAAGAAGAAAGTGAAGGATGATTCCTCAAGTGGAGAAGAAGATTCCGATGCGGAGGTTGCCTTTGTGATTAGAAATCTTAGAAAGTTTATGAAGAAGAAAAGCAACCACAAGACCTATGGTGATGGTAAGAGAAGGTTCAAAAAGAGGTTTTGCTATGGATGTGGTCAAATCGGTCACTTCATAGCCGATTGTCCTAATGAGAAAAAGAAGCACAAGTATGACAAGGATGAAGATAAGAATAACAAAGGCAAGAAGAGAGGTGAAGCTCATCTTGGGGAAGAATGGGAGTCAAGTGATAGTAACTCAAGTGATGATGAGAAAAAGAAGAAGGGAGCCGCAAACATCGCCATCCACCACTCTTCTTCACCGACCATGATCTTCCCCGACTCAACTTCACCGCCAAGACTCTTCTTCAACATATCTTCATCACCGAGGCTCTTCTCCAACCTCACCGACAACGACTACTACACCCCAACTTGTCTCATGGCAAAAGGGGAAAAGGTACATACTACACCCGTTTCATCTAGTGATGAGGATGATAGTTGCGATGACAACATAGAAGAAATTGAAGCAACCATAATTAAGAAATTTGGTAAAAAGGCCTTCACTAAAATAAAAATGCTAATGAAGAAATTAGAGAAGAGGGATAGATGCTTAGAGTTGTAAGGAGATATAATTACCCAAGAGAAAGAGAAAAACCTTGCACTTGAAACATCTATCGCCGAGGAAAAGATGAAGGTTGAGAAGTTAACCGTTGAATTGTCTTTAGCCAATGACTCAATTGGGAAATTGACTAAGGAACATTCCTCGGTTAATGATCAAATAGCTAGCCTTAAAAATGAAAAGAGCATAGCTCAAGAAAGCCTCACATGCTTGGAAGAAAAATATCGAAATCTTGAGCTAAACTATAGTACCCTTTGGGCTAGCACTTCAACTTCTCCTAAGGCAACCGAAGACTCTAATGTCTCCACTAGTGATGGTTGTAAAAGATGCTATAAAATTGACGTGAATGCATATATAACTAACCTCGTTGAGTTAGAGAAGAAAGACAAGGAAATTCATAGGTTGAAGATAATATTGAAGAATGGGTGCAAGTGTCAAGAGCAATCAAACAAGACTATATACAAGTCATCAAGGCACCCATCAATCAAGGAAGGCATTGGCTACAATAGGTATGATGGAAAGGCAAATGGAAGGAACATGATCAATGGTGTGCCTTGTGTGAAGTTCAACAAGGGCGTTGCTCTTGATGAGCTAATATGCAAGGCCAACAACAAGGTCTACATTCCAAAGATCCAACCTACAAATACCAAGACAATCAAGACAAAGCAATCCAATGTCCCCAAGCCACAAGCACCACTTCCACGGTGCTATGCTAGTGACTATATGTGTTGTTGGGGCAAGGATGGCAAGATTGTGGTTAAGTATGTTGGTGCCCAAAAGAGAAAGGAAATTATGAGGAGTGTTTGGGTGCCCAAGTTTTATGTGACTAACCCCCTAGGACCCAAATCATTTTGGGTACCTAAAACGAAAGCTTAATTTGTCTTTGTAGGAATATTCCTCTGATGGAACAAGTTGGGTGTTGGATAGTGGATGCAGCAATCATATGACCGGAGAGAAAGACATGTTCACATCATTTCA